CTGGAGTTGGTGTGCTCCATGAAGAAGAATGCCACAACTGTCTTAACCTGCCTGAAGATTACGTTTCTAGTTTCAGGGATGGAACAAGAGTAAATTCCCTTATCTTTAAATGCTCAGCCATTACACAGAGAATTCAGAACACAGAGAACTCAGACACACAGGATTTGAGAAAAAATAAACCACACATTCATGTATTCTCTTGTCCTACCCAGACCTGATGGGCAGGAGAGGGAAGGACCCCTGGCCCAAATGGGGGGATCCATAACTAAAGGGTCACAACTTCTCACCATTGCAGATGGGGACTGGGGCTCTGACATTCAAGCTGGGGAGGGCATCCAGGCCCCTCTCCAAAGTCCCCCCGCATCTGATCTGTTACCACATGGGGAGGGGAAAGCACAGCAGTTCTGACAGCTGGTCCTAAAAGGAGAGTCAGTAGTGTCTTGGCCTAGGAGGTGTGTCCTGTGTTTCAGATCACCCTGGGGAGAGGGCCATGGGGCTCTTTGTGAAACAGGGCTAACTGGGTATCTAGATGTCATCAGAGCTCCGAGGGAGAGCAGCCAAGCATTCAGGGGCTGGACTGTCCATGCAAAAGAACCCACCATACCTTTTAAATGATATTGCTAAAAGCCAATCATGCGCTTACCTTTCAAACAGATCATTTGTACCTAATTTCAAACTACTGCATTATGATCAAGTTACATCAGCTTCTACTGACAGCCTGCAGTGTAATGTAATGGATGCTGTAATGTAATGGATGCTGAGGAGTCAGACTCTCACAGAATTTTCCCTGGGACCCCTCCCTTATGATGACCAGTGAACAGCATTTGCTATAGCCTGAGTGTTATATGCTATCCTACATCTTATATCTGGTTGCTTCTGGAATGCTTTTCTTATCCTCTCTGCTTTTCTTTCCAATCCAGAGCAAGCCCACACTTTTTCCTTAAAGCTTCTTTGACCTCTGCTTGTCCTTAGCACTTCCCAAGTTGGTACAAGTTTGTTTAGTCTTTAGTTCTGTATTACGAGCTTATGCATGCTTGTCAGAGCACTGTCTTAATGATGCCCCAGGAGAAAGTGGCCCGGTAAAAACTATGGAAGGTGACAGAAAAACTGCAAAATTCAGCGGAACTGCCCGTGGCTGAGGGAATATTCCTCAGCGTCATGTTTGGCCCCTGGATACAGCCGGTCTCTGGGAGGATTCTCAGTACCTCCACCCTGATGGCTACCTCCCACCTCCACTGTGGCCTCTTACATTTCAGATTAGGCCTGATGTCCAGTCACAGATTTCAGACAGACCTGACATACTCCAAATCCAGCCTCTTCTCAGCCTCAATGAACTGGGGTAACATTTGAGGACAGGGGTGACATCTTGCTTTTTCTAACTCACCTGGTATGCATAGGACAGTGCTTAGCTCCCCACATAGGGAACAAAGCTGAATTCTGGGGAAGAGCCTTTACAACTTGGTAATAGTGGTTGATTAAGTCTGTCTCATCCAGACAGAGTATCTGTGTGTGGCTGTAACAAGACTCATGGTAGAGAATATTTCAAAAGAAATTTCTTATCCTTGGACTCGGAGTACTAAATCATGAACGTAAGGATTCCCCATCAGGAAAGAGACATCTCTCAGTGAATGCCCAAGCCCTGCCTCGCAGGTGTTAAGTTCTGCTGCCTTCCCATCTCCTATCTGCCTCAGCTCTCTCTCCTAAGGTTGGCCAAGACTCCCTTTGGGGAGCAAGGAGGACAGCTGTAAAACCCTGTCCTGTTTTGTGCAGAGAATGTCTTTATAACTCTTCCTCCCCCAGGTCATCTCAGTGAAAAGTGTACATAGTTTTTACAACATATGTCAAGTCAAATCCTGATGTCTTGGTCGTTAGTGTAAAAAAACTTTTGATTTTGCAACTAGTTAAATTCTATTGGATGCGGAGGAGTGACTGTTTTGTGGTGATCTTTTTGGTTTTGGTGATGTAAGAATTTTTATGAGAATTTATTTGAGCCAAACTGATGACAATTGCTAGGAAGCAAGATCTCAAATGCTCTAGAGGATGACAGTTTTGCAGATTCTTTTATACATTTAAAATTAATAGAATTATGGAGGGAATGTAAGGAAGATTACATGAAGATGGGAAAAAGCAAGGTACAGGATAGTTAACAAGACCGTGTGCTCTCTTGAGGGTGGTTACACCTTCAGGTGGTCTGGAAAAGAAGGTTACTTCTGGCGTGTCAAACGTGTGTTGACCTAGATGCGCAGAAACAATGGACAGAGGTGGCTTACAAACCCTTCATTAAAGAAGTTATAGGCCTAGGGTGTGACTACCCACCATGACATGTCCAGTTAGAAATTTATGATCAGGTCACCCTGTGAGGTTACTTTTGGTTAGATTTATTATAGTGCCTCCTTTTCATCCACATTTTGAAGCTGGTATCCTAAATGAGCAGCTTGTACCATTTCGTAATGGGAAGAATATGAAAGAAAATGTGTCTTGGTGTTACTTCTATGTGGAAAGGTTTTTCACTCATTCTCTCAATAGCCATGGCTTCCTGGAATTTGTAGGTAAAGAAGAGAAAGTGATCATTTTGGTTTTTAGAATTTTAGAAAATTTTATTAACCATGTGTCAGTTCAAGCCAGACTTAGCGTCTTTTTTTTTCTTATCTTTTTTTCCAACTTTTTAAATGGTAGCTTAAATTTTTAAAATAAAAACGTACAGAAAACCACTGTATGGTCAGACAAAATGTGGAATTCAGGAATTCACATTATCATAAGATGGTTCTATCTTTGGTTAAGACATATAAATGTTATATGCAAAAGCACGTGGATGGTTTAAAACCATATTGGTTTAAAACACCCTCGAGGGACCTGATACAGTTCAGTTCAGTTCTTAACATTTAAGTCTCCCCAGCACAGTGCCTTAGCTACTGTAAGGGCTCAGCAAGACAAGGTTCTCGGTCTCTGCTTGTGGTAGTCTGAGTTATTCTGATTCCAGCTGGTCCTTGCGGTTCCAGTGCTCAGTGCTGTCTGCACAGCCCAACCTCTGAGCTTCAGTTCCAGATTCCTGGGACAGAGAATTCGATTGGTTCCAGTTAGGTCAGACTGGTGCACCCTGGTTCAGTGAGCTGAGTCTAGGGAAGAAGGGTCATGGGGTGTAAGGCTTCCCCCTCCACCCTCAGGATGGACAAGTATGGGATGGCAGGCCCACTACAAAGGACGTGCGGACTGGGAAGCAGTAGTTGAGATCTTTGAGTACATCCTCTTTGGATTTCGCCCCTGAGAAACAATAGCTTTTTTCATGTGTACGTTTTTGTAGTTTCTGAGATGTACAAAGCCTCCAAATAGCTCCATTACCTGTTTCTAGCATAGAAAACTCATTTGTTTTCCTGAAGTACTACTTATATTCCCAGGAACTAAGCTGGATACAGGCATTCTAGACCTTAGCTTCTTAGTCATTTCCAGCAGCTTCTGCCAACCCCAAAGAAAGGCCCAGTATCTAGATGGAATATGTCCTTGGCAGGCTGGGGTGCCACTGGAGTGCTGCTAGAGAAGCAGGAAAGAAAACGTATCTTGGTGTGAAAATATCAAAAGTATGAAGGTATTTTGGCATGTTAAGGGGGTGTTTTCTTAAAAAGTTACAAAGCCTTAAAGCAACAGATTTAAAGGACGTTGCAATGACACATTTTCATACAGGGGTCAGCAGACTACAATCTTCCTGCCAGTTATGGCCCGCTGCTTGTTTTTATAAAGTTTTATTGGAACACAGTTACACCCATTTGTTTACTTATCATCTGTGGTTATTTATTAACGTGCAGTGTCAGACTAGAGGAGTTGCAACAGAGACTGTATGGCCTGCAAAATCAAAAATATTTACCACCTAACCCTTCATAGAAAAAGTTTGCCAACCCCTGTTTTAGTCCATTTATCTTTAAGTGCCTCGTTAGACTGAGAACAACAGTTATGATGATGTGAAATTCTTAGAGGAAAAAAGGAAATATTTCAAAAAATATCTAGGAAAATGCAGAGTAATCCAAAATAGGAAATATTCTTTGCTGTTTTACCCAATTTGAGTGATTAAGTGGATTGTTTGATGTTCCTTTGGCATTTTTAGTTGAGATATGCTGGTTAAGAATTCCTGTACGTGGGTTTCTGAATATATCCATTACAGGTGAATTTTCTTAGCCTAAGTAATTTGAGTAGATTTTTATCCACCAGTTTAGTTTATGTCTTTTAAGCAAGCCTCTTTCTCATATCTTTATTTTATTACTTTTCTGTTTATAAAAGTAGTATAAGTTGATTGTAAAAAAAATTGGAAAATGCCCAACAGTATGCAGAAGGAAAATAAAAAATTTCCATAATTCTTTCACTGGAGTCCCCTTTTACTCATGTACTTAGAGCTAATTAACACTAGATATTAGGTATTAATAATCTTTTCGCAAAATCAGAAGCATATACCTACTGTTTAGCAATATGTTTTTAAAAGTTGATATATATTGTACCTTCTTATATCATTAAATATTCTTTTTAACATAGGTTTTCATTATTACATAGTATTTTCACATGTGTATTCTGTAATTTACTTAATTCCTTATTGCTGTCCATTTGGTTGTTTCCAATTATGTATCACTATTCAAAAATGACATTATGTTTGTCCCTGATTATTTCCTTGGGATAAATTCCTTGGATTAGAATTGCTGGCTCAGAAAGTATGAGCATTTATTTCTAAGGCTTTTAGTAGACATTGCTAAATTACCCTCTAGATCTTGCCAATTTATACACCCACCAGAAGGGCATGAAAGCACCCAGATTTTCATAGTAAATTTGAAAGTTTACTCTATTTGTATTTGAAAGGTTTTGATAGGTTGAATATTGGTTTTGAATACTGGTTTGGGTTACTTTAACCTCAGCCACTGCTTGCTTAAGTGTACA